AACAAGGCATTTGCCTAGAGAGGCATTTTTCAGGGGGCAGCACCGCCCTCCAGAAGAAGAGGTGGAAGAAGGGACACAGATGGCTGTGGGCTGCTTGATGGTGTATGCAGAGCCTGACTCTGATTCCAGGGGATGTCTGGAGCTGTGAAGGTGTGAAGGTGAGTGTCTTTGATGGGGACAAGGGCCTCTTCCCCACAACCGTGGCTGTTAGTTGTGGGGGGTCTGTGGCCTGGGGACTTATCGGAATCTGGAAACCCCCTTTAACAAGGGAACCCCCAGATCCCGGCCGCCCCATGTGAATGAGTATGGGGTATATGGTACCGCTACCCTTTCACAAAAAAAGTGTAGTGTAAAAAAAAGACAGGCGATAGTCTTTGACAAGTCCTTTATTAAAAATAAAAATTAAAAAAACATCCTCCGAAGTAGATCCATCATCAATAACGATGCCCGCTACCCAAAAAAGAGAGAAAAAAAAAACGCTCCACTTGCAACCCTGGCTTCCACCATCTGACAGCTGCGCCCCTGATGAGAGTTCCTAAATACTGTCATGACGTCACTTGTGATTGGTCAAAGCATTGCACCTGACCTGAGGTTGTGAGGTTATTATGAGGTTTGTAGTCCCATGAAGAAGACTGGTGAGGAGGAGGGGGAGCCTCCGTGGGAGTCTGGCCACAGCACAGTCCTTGCACAGCAACAGGCAGGGGGAGCAACTGAACACACACACCCCACCGGAAACCCGCTCCAGCATTATATACGGAGCTGTGGTAACCCAAGACTTAGCGTCAGGTTACCGTGGCAATGGGCCCCACCCCCCTCGATGCCGGCCCCCACACAGGGAGCGCGGCCTTTGTCTCTGGCAGGCATGGAGTGCAGGAGAGCAGGATTGCGCCATGCCCGTGGAGACAGGGAGGGGGGTGACATGAGGGGAGCCTACATGTGGCGAATCCACATGCAGGCACAGCAGGGTGGCCGACTCAGCAGGGAGGCAGAGTTCTGGCGGCAGCAGAGTGAGGGGATGCTGGGGGGTGGGAGGTGGCAAGCAGAAACCGAGGGGGGGGGGGTTTCTATTGTACATCTATTAAAAAAATCTTGACAAAGGATAACTAAAAGAAAAATGTCATGTATTGCAGTTCACCAGTCCTCATATGTGGCAGCTGCATTAGTTTTCTTTTTTTTTTCTGACTTTTAGGCTTGGTTCACACTGATGCAGTTTGCGTTTGATCTGTTTCTGGATTGCATTTTGCATTTTTGTACATACATTTTTTGCCGTGTTTTTGATGCATTTTGCATTTTTTTCATTTCCTTGTTGCTAGGCAGATTAAAATACAAAGCGTATCAAAAAACACGGCAAAAATGCAGCAAAAACAGACTACATGCTTTTCTGCAGCATTCCCATTGAAGTCTACAGACACCAAAACCTAACGTTTTGCGTTTAAAAAAGTCCCTGACCCTTTTCCAAAAAAATGCACTGGGTGAAAAAAACGTGCAGATGTGAACCTGTCCCATAGGAAATCATGTTAAATGGACTGTACTGCGTTTCTGTAAAACGCTGCGGAAAATGCTTAGGTGTGAACCCGGGGTCACTGCAAGTACTGAAAGAAATTGTTGGTCCTGCCAGAAATCGAGTATCTGTGTCCCTCCCTGTGTACTGAAACCCCAACTATCTTTTGTGATGTAATGGAGATGAAGAGAGGGGAGATGTTGTGTAGTTCTAACACACTTCCTGTTCTTGATTGACAATGCTACCCCTCTATAGATAAAGGACAGTGAGTGTTGTCACTCTAAAACAGCAAGTGTGTTACTGGCAGGATCAACTGGTGAAAATAGACTGAAAAAAAAAAAGAAAGTTAATGCAGCCACCACATCAAAGGACTTAATCAGTAATATATGACCAGGGGCGGACTGACCATTTGGAAACTCGGGCACTGCCCGAGGGCCCGGATCAGTAGGGGGCCCCATGAGATGCCCCTGGTACCTTTTTCATAGGCTTTTTTGAGTTTGGGCAAGGACACAGGGGCCCCATGATCCCCTATTGCCCGGGGGCCCCATGAATTGTCAGTCCGCCCCTGTATATGACATTCTTGTTTGAGGATTTAGATACTTTTTATTTTGTTCAGCACATTTTTTGTGGACTTTGAGCCTGGAAGGTTTTGTAACAATTTGTTATCACGCCGCCGCCGCACATTTTATGTAATCATTCTGGAATAGTGTGCAGCACTTCCACTTTCGATATGAACAAGGAGATGTTATTATTCTGGATACAATCCAAAGTCAGTGTAATGATATCACACATAGAAGACGGAGCTGGGAGAGGACGGCAGCAATTCCTGTCGGAGGGTCAGAAACATTTTATACTTATCGGTGAAAAAACAGAAAATACTGGAAACCTAACCAGAGGAAGAGCGATACACATCCAAGTAAGGGCGGGGTCACTAATACTTCTATGGAGGAGCGATTTTCTCGTCTTCTATAGTCTTCATCCCGTTTTATACTGGATCTATGCTACAGAGATAGAAGATGATGGAAACCTTTCTAACTTCTTCTCTTTTCCCACCTCTCTCTTTCCCTCCTTCTCCCCTCCTCCTTTCCTCTCTCCCCTCTCTCCCCTTCTCCCCCCCCCTCCTTTTCCTCTCTCCCCATTCTCCCTCTCGTCTTCCCCCCTCCTTTTTCTCCCCCCTCTCCCCCCCCTTCCCCCCCCCCCCCTTTTTCTCCCCCCCTCTGTTTTTCTCCTCCCCCTCCTCTCCTTTTTTCTCCCCCCTCTCTCTCTTCCCCCTCTCTCTCCTTTTCTCCCTCCCCCTCTTCCCCCCTCTCCTTTTTAACACCCCTCCTTCTTTTATATCTCCTCCCTTTCTCTATCTCCTTCTCCCCTCCTCCTTTCCTCTCTCCCCTCTCGTCTTCTCCCCCCCTCCTTTCCTCTCTCCCCATTCTCCCTCTCGTCTTCCCCCCTCCTTTTTTCTCCCCCCCCCCTCCTTTTTCTCCCCCCTCTGTTTTTCCCCTCCCCCCCCCTCCTCTCCTTTTTTCTCCCCCCTCTCTCTTCCCCTCTCCTCCTCTTCACCCTCTTTGTCTTTTTCTCCCCCCCCTTCTTCCCCCCCTCTCCTTTTTTACACACCCCTCCTTCTTTTATCCCCCCCGCGTCTCTCTATCTCCTTCTCCCCTCCTCCTTTCCTCTCTCTCCCTTTTCTCTCCCTCTCTATCTCCTTCTTTTTTTCTCTCTCCTTCCCCCATCTCTTCCTCATACCCTCTCTCCCCTTTTTTTGCCCCCCCCCCCCCCCTTCCACTCTCTCTGTCTCTTCTTCTTCCTCCTGTCCTCTTCCCCCTCCCTTCTCTCTACCTCTCTCTTTTTTTTCTATCCCCCTCCCTTCTCTCCTCCTCTTTTTTCTATTCCCTCCATCTACTGTCTTCATCCTGATGTTATATTGGATTTATGTTGGAGAGATATAAGAAGTTAACTTTCATTCTTCCTGCTTCTTCTCTCTCCCCCCACCTCTCTCTTTCTCTCCTTCTCCGCTCCTCCTTTCCTCTCTCCCCTCTCGTCTTTTTTTTTTTGCTCCCCTTCTCCTTTCCTCTGTACCCCCACTCTCTCCTCTCCACCCTCTCTTTTTTTTTTTCTCACCCCCCTCCTTTTTCTCCCCCCTCATTTTTTTTTTTCTCACCCCTCTCCTTTTTTCCCTCCCCCTCCCCCCCCCCCCCCCTCTCATTTTTGTTTGTCTCCTCCTTTTCTCCCCCCTCTCTCTCTATCACCTTCTCTCGCTCCTCCTTTCCTCTCTCTCCCCCTTTCTCTCTCCCCCCCCCACTATCTTCTTCTTTTACTCTCCTTCCCCCATCTCTTCCTCATTCCCTCTTTCCCCTTTCTCCTCCTTTTTCTCCCCCCCCCCCCAATCTCTTCTTCTTCCTCCTGTCCTCTTCCCCCTCCCATCTTTACCTCTCTTTTTTTCTATCCCCTTCACCTTTTTCTTTTTTTCTCTGTCCTTCCCTCTCATGCTCCTTTTTTTTACCCTCTTCCTGCCTGCACCCCCCCCCCCCCCAGGGCTGCTGATAGAGATCACGGGGCCCCGTACACACTACCTGATAGGGCCCCTCCAAGACAATATCAGTGATATTTTGCTAAAAATACATGAAATCCATTCTTAGCGGACACATTATACCTCACACAATTCCTGCTAAATCTAAAAGATACATCAGTATTGAGGTAATAAACAAAGCTCTCTGTGGAGGAGGTCTGGGGCTCATTCACATGGGCGCTGTGGCCTGTACAGTGTGAATCAGTGGTTTGTTTATGTGGCTGGAGCCACCGGGAACTGTATGAACACAGCCGCAGGTCCTAATTTGACAGGCCTGTGGATGCAGGTGTACGGCCCCCCGAACACAGTGTGCATCTGGGGCCACTCACCCACATCTTCACACTTGTCAAATTAGGACCTGTGGCTGTGTTCATACAGCCGCTGCATCTCTTCAGAATGACAGGCAGCTCCAGTCTGACGCCCTCCTTCACATAGCCAGAGTACCTATGGGATGGAGTGCTTCATTATATTTTTTTAACAATTTTTTTTGAACAGCCCTGTCAGGTAGGAGGCAGGGGCAGACTGACCATTTGGAAACGCGGGCACTGCCCGAGGGCCCAGGGTCAGTAGGGGGCCCCATAAGATGCCCCTGGTACCTTTTCATAGGCTTTTTTGAGTTTGGGGGAAGGACACATGGGCCCCATGATCCCCTATTGCCCATGTACACTGCAGCTGATAAAACTCACGTTTTCTAGGAGCTGGGAACGCCTCAGGCTTTTTTTCAGCATGACCCCTGAACTCCCCGTTCTCTCTCTTTTCTTTCTCTTCTCTTCTTCTCTCCCTCTTCTTCTCCTCTCTCTTCCCCTACTGAACTCTCAGCACAGCTTCCCTATGCGCATGTCCTCCTTGTGTCCAGTTAAAATATACACATTCCACTTCGTTTACAGTCCTTTACAGGCAGTTGAGTTTACAAGTCGTTTTTTGAACTTGAAACAAAACAAACTTGCATTCAGTTTACAGTCGATTTTATCAGTCGTTTTTTTGAAAAACAAAACGCTTGTAAACGCGTCTAAACGCAAAAAAAAAATAATAAACAGGAAATAACATTTAGAAGTGTTTGCAAATTTTTTTTTTAAATTTTTTCTGTCCAGAGCCTTTTTTCATCATGAAAAATGCATGCAAAGAGTTTTCAAGGTGCTCAGATGGACAAAACACTGAACACAGGATGTTCCTACCAAGCTCATCACACATTGTAATGACCAATTCACACCTCAGACCTTTCCCACCTTGGAAACAAAAGATATGTTAATGACCATTCACACCTCAGACCTCTCCCACCCTTGGAAACAAAAGATATGTTAATTACCAATTCACACCTCAGACCTCTCCCACCCTTGGGAAACAAAAGATATGTTAATGACCATTCACACTTTAGACCTTTCCCACCCTTGGAAACAAAAGATATGTTTAATAACCATTCACACCTCAGACCTCTCCCACGCTTGGAAAGAAACGATATGTTAATGACCATTCACACCTCAGACCTTTCCCACCCTTGGAAAGAAAAGATATGTTAATGACCATTCACACCTCAGACCTCTCCCACCCTTGGAAAAATATGTTAATGACCAATTCGCACCTCAGACCTTTCCCACCTTTAGAAACAAAAGATATGTGAATGACCATTCACACCTCAGACCTCTCCCACCCTTGGAAAGAAAAGATATGTTAATGACCATTCACACCTCAGACCTCTCCCACCCTTGGAAAGAAAAGATATGTTAATGACCATTCACACCTCAGACCTTTCCCACCCTTGGAAACAAAAGATATGTTAATGACCATTCACACCTCAGACCTCTCCCACTTTTGGAAACAAAAGATATGTTAATGCTCTTTCACACCTCAAATTCCTCATGAAGACCCCCTGCCAGGTGACCTTAATGACTCCTCTCTACTAGACACCTTTCCCACCCTTGGAATCAAAAGAAATGTTAATGAGCAACTCACACCTAATTATCTCAACACATACTGCTGTCTCTGCTTCTACTGTGTGTATTTTTTCTGAAACAGTCTGAAATAGTTAATAATTTAACACTTTTCAGTGCATTCTGAGCATTTGGGAGGTTCTCCTGTGCTTATCTTTAAACAACGCTTCTAAACGCACATAAACGCATTATGCAAACACGGCTAAACAGATGTTTTTTAACCTACGTTTTCCAGCAGTCAGTTTCCATCGTTGAGAAACGTCCCGTGTACATGGGGCCTAAGCTGCACTGGGACAAGATAAAAGGCATCTGTGGAATGGTGTAACAGTAAATTCATCATATCATGGGAATGCAGCTGAGGGGCTGTGCCTGGGACACAGAGCACCGGAGGAGAGAGCAGATAAGAAGATACAGGCTGGGCAGTTGGAGCATGGGTATGAGGGGGACAGGGACAATGAGATGGGATGAGAAGTGCAGGAAGGAAGGACTGAGGCACAATCAATGAGACTGAGAATGTGAATGATCGGAGCGTGACTGCAAAGATAGGAGGAAGCAGGACTGCTATTATGATGCTTCAGTTATGAATGAACACAGTGTGTGATCGGTTCCAATCACTCGTTGTGTTCACTCAGGAAATAAAGGGACTGGTAAATGTGACATATTTATCGGGCCCTTCCCCCACTCTCCATTCTGAAGAATCCTACTGTGTGCTTGTAGCTGCTGGTTGAAAGCAAAGGAGGGAAACTGGCAGCACTGCAGGGGGTGGGGGCACACAGGGGGGCCTTGGCAGCAGAGGAAAATGTATGGTGCACAGGGAGGGTGATGAGTGCAGCGGGAGGGGCAATTACTGGAACTTTTCCCCTGTATGACTATCTCTGCAGCAGGAAGAGCCATCCAGGTGATCAGTTCCAGTAATTTGTGCTGATCACCCTCCCTGCCCACATCCAATTATCCCAGCTACCTGGGCCCCCTTGCTGGCCTGGGCCCTGAACATAAGGAACTGGTGGTACCCCCTTATCCACAACCCTGGGAGGAAGGAGTGTGAGCCGGGAAAAAATCTGGAACTGTGGGAGGTTGGGGGGGGGGGGCTTAGTGGGCAAGAAAGTTACAGAGGTAACCGTCTGACCACAGCTAACATTAGAGCCAGTGCTGCGGGGGTGACGAGGGGGGGTCTTGTGTCTGTGTCTCTCCCACCCTCCAGCCAGCGGGCAGACAGTGCATTGTTCTGTAATTCCCCCCCTCACCAATCCCCCTCTCTCTAGGTCTCACTGTGTTCTGGGGCCCCCTACAGGAGGCCCAGTGGTACCCCACTATCGGTGATCTTGTCCCCCCCATCCACTCTCTTTATCTCCTTTTCTTTCTCCCTTCCTCTTTTCCTCTCTCCCCCTCCCCTCTTTACCTCTCTTTTTTTTTCATCCCCTCCCTCTCTCTCTCCTCCCCCCCCTTTTTTCTCTCTCCCTCCCTCTCATACTTTTTTTTCTCTCTTCTTCCTCACTCTCATATCCTCTCTTTCCCCATCCACTCAGTCTCTCTACCCCCATCCCACCCCTCACTCACCCTCTCTCCCTTCTTTCTCTCTCTTCTCCTTTTTTCCCCTACCTGATCTGTCTCCATGCCCCCATCCTTCTCCTCCCTCTTCTGCCACCCACCCCCTCTGTCTTTCTCTCTCCCTCTATTCCCTCTATCTCCTCCCATCTCCTCCCCCTCTCTTCCCCACCACATCCCTTCATCTCCTCGGTCTCTACCCTTTCTCTCTCCCCTCTCCTTCCATCTATTTTCACCCACATAACCCTTCAAATTGTTATATCTCTCACATGGTAATCTAGGCAGGTGGACATTGAAGTGTTGTGTGGGGGTGTGTGTGGGGGGGGGGGGGCAGGCTTCAGAATGCAGCATAATTTTCCCCAGGTAGTAACTGAGGTATTTAGGACCCCTGAATCCTGTGTGAGTGCTGTGTGTGGTCATATATGGGCCCGATTCCACCATAGGAGAATCTGTTCTTGTGTCTGCTGGAGGAAGTAATGTGGTCGGCAAAATGAAAGCTACACACCTTCCTGTTATGTGACTAGCAGACATTAGTGCTCATTAATCTTCTGTCAAACTAACAACAAGGATAACTGAAGAGTTTTGTCATAACCAGACGTCTTTCGGGGCCCCAATCCTGGTTATGACGAAATGCGTTGGGCGGAGCCTCCATTCTGACGTCTTTGCGTAAGATCGCCATTTTGGTCTACCTTTGCGGATTGATGCTTTTTATCTTCTGTGCTTGTAAGTGCATTTTTGTTTGTTCAATAAACCGGTTGTATTTAATGCACTATGAGAGGCACCTCTTTATTTTACAAGAGCAAACACTGACCCAAACATCAGGACGGCTTGATGAACCTCAGGCGGTGCATTTGGTTCCATATAAGATATTATGAGTCTGGATGAGAATATATATATACTGAGCGTGTTATAACCCCTCTAGTAAAGGGGTCTAAGGATGTGGTAAGCCTCCGATTTGATATTATGGTGGTGGATATTCACGTTGGTGGTTATGCTGGAATGAAGATTTGTCACTACTTATCACAGGAACCAGGGGATAGGTTTACACCTTTAAGGACTGCTTGTGATTTGTTTTCTATCTTTGTTTATTTTTGAGCACTATTTTGTTTATGTAGTATTGAATGTACACCAATAGTATCTATTGTATGTTATTGATTGTTTACACTTAGCGCAACACAAATTTGTATTTGATCTGTATGGTAGAGTGGCCAGAAAGAAGCCACTCCTCATTAAAAGGCAAATGGCAGCCCACCTGGAGTTTGCCAAAAGGCACCTGAGGGACTCTCAGACCATGAGAAACAAAACTCTCTGGTCTGATGAAACAAAGATTGAACTCTTTGGCCTGAATGCCAAGCAGGGGCGGACTGACCATTTGGAAACTCGGGGACACTGCCCAAGGGCCCGGGGTCAGTAGGGGGCCCCATGAGATGTTTCCTGGTACCTTTTTCATAGGCTTTTTTGAGTTTGGGCAAAGACACAGGGGCCCCATGATCCCCTGATGCCCGGGGGCTTCATAAGTTGTCAGTCCACCTCTGATGCCAAACATCATGTCTGGAGCAAACCAGGCACCGCTCACCACCTGACCAATACCATCCCTACAGTGAAGCATGGTGGTGGCAGCATCATGCTGTGGGGATGTTTTTCAGCGGCAGGAAGTGGGAGACTAGTCAGGATCAAAGGAAAGATGAATGCAGCAATGTACAGAGACATCCTTGATGAAAACTTGTTCCAGAGCATTCTAAACCTTAGACTGAGCAACAGTTCATCTTTCAACAGGACAACGACCCTAAGCACACAGCCCACATAACAAAGAAGTGACTACGGGCCAACTTTGTGAATGTCCTGGAGTGGCCCAGCCAGAGCCCAGACTTGAACCTAATTGAACATCTCTGGAGAGATCTGAAAATGGCTGAGCACCGACGCTCCCCATCCAACCTGGTAGCTTGAGAAGTACGGCAAAGAAGAATGTGAAAAATCGCCCAAAAATAGGTGTGCCAAGCTTGTAGCATCATACTCTAAACGACTAGGCTGGGAACATGTTTTTTTTTTTTTTTTTCATTTTTTATTTTTAATAAATTGCAAAGATTTCAAGATGAACTTCTTTCACATTGTCATTATGGATTATTATTTGTAGAATGTTGAGGGATAAAAATGAATCCATCTTGGAATAAGGCTGTAACATAACAAAATTTGGCAAAAGTTGAGCACTGTGAAAACTTTCTGGATGCTCTGTATACAGCCCCAGCATAGTCGGCAATGTATAGAGAACAAATGAATAGTTGGCCACAATCTCTGCTTTCCAAGAACTTAAGAGTTCATCCACCACAAATATTAGGGCCATTTTGAGAGCAGAAGTGAATTACCATGAATTGTGGGGGGAAGCAGCTAGAAACACCTATAAACAGAAGCAGAACAAGTTAAGAAACTCCTATAAACCGAAGCATACACTATTTGGCCAACAGTTTAAGGACCCCTGGCCATTGCATCTATGTGTTTATGTTGGTCATCACACTCCAAATCCATGGTCATTAATATGGAGTGCGGCACCATCACCACCACCTTTATTTCTAATAAATTCTCCACTTGTCTGGAAAGGCTTTCCACAATGTCTACAATTTTGGCATTTACGGTGTTGGTTTTTTGCCTACTCATGTCTTTATGGTGCTGGCTTTGTACACAGGAGCACAGTTATGCTGGAACAGAAAAGGGCCTTCACTAAACTAATACCACAAGGTTGGAAGAGCACAATTGTCTACAATGTCTTTGTATGTTTGATCAATAGCAGTCCTCTTCTTTGGAAACACCTGAATCATTTGGAAGGGGTGCCAGATACGTTTTATAGTAGGAATGAAGGTTAGTTCTCCAGATACTTTGGACCAAAATGGTAATTCTTGTTGGGAAATTAAGAAGAACCCTGGATTTTAAAGCTCCATAATTAACCAGTAAACCACCATGCTACCCATCAATGTCATTACTTGTTCTTAATTTTGTTTATCATTTTTATAACTTCCTTCATGTGATCACACATATTCCAGTGATGCCGATCATATTCTGATGGAAACTTTGCTTTTATATTTCATTTTAGAGACTCGTCTTCTGGTGAAAATGGTTCCTAAAAAGCTTTTTGTAGGGATATTCTCCCGAGAGCACCAGAAGCTGTTCCAGTGGCTGGTCCATTTTCTTCACACCATTTCTGTAGTGAAAGATGTCCGCCGTGTCGTCATCACCAACAACTTCTTTGAGTTTCAGCGAGAGGTGTTCAAATATAGCTTTGCCATCCTCTACCACTCCAAGACAAGAGGAAGACTCAACATCACAGATGTCACTGACTCTCTGTACGACCGGGAGCTCAAATATCTCAATGAAAATTTGGGTGAGCACTAGTCC